CTAGCGACGCGGGTGGAAGCCCTGCGGGCATAGGAGTGCTGGGAGACGAAGGACACGCGCGCGAGATGGACGGCGAGCGCTGGGAGCACGAGATGGCGCGCGCGTGTACGTGCGGAGCGAACGGGCGACACCTAGTCGCCGAAGGAGTAGGCGAGAGGGCTGGAGAGGCGGCGTGCGGGTACGGGACACACGGGGCGCGCGATGCCTCGCGCGCCGAGGATTAGGAAAGCCGAGGGTCGGCGCGCACGGATGGAAGGCGGTGCGATGGGGCGGCCGAGAGTTTAGGTTGGGGTGAATTACTTGTGCATCAAAATTCTTGGTGTGCAAGACAATTAGTTATTTGGTAGTAGTAAGATTTTATTTCCTTTATGCTTTTAATTAATATGTTAGGAGATTTATTAGCTTTAGGATTTATTTTATTGCATAGAATAGGAGATCTAGATCTTTTAGGCTTAGAGATAGTTGGTATCTATAAATACCCCATGTACCTCATCATATTTTACAAGTTGAATGGAGTGTTGAATTGGTGAGCCAATTGAGGGGAACTTTATGTTCTAACTTATGATAAACAAGGCCGTCAGTGCGTGTTTACATACAGTGTCGGAGAGAAGGCCCTGAGAGCGTCTCGAAGTCACAGTGTCTAGAAGAAGGCCCTGAGTGCGTCTGCTAGATACACCTATCGTGGATAAACGAAGGCCCTGAGTGCGCCGTTTATTCACAACCCAACGTATAAATAACAACTCCGATCAGTGGGTCCTTCATCAAGACGACAGAGAGAGCGACGGCGCGTGTACCTCACACGCGCGGAATCTGCCGGCGATACTTCACCGGTCGGCCGTTCCGGTGATGGCGAGTCCAACGGTACAGGAGGTGAGACCCGAAACTCACCCAAAGTGTGCCTACTCTGAACCCCAAAAAATTTGACACGAAAATTGAAAAAGAAAAACCCTAACTTTTATTTTGGCTCTGATGCCATGTAATTCTATTAAGCTTGAATTGATATATTACTCAATGAGGATTACAACATATATATACAAGCCAAAGGAGATGTAAGAAAGGAAAGAAATCAAAACACCTAATCTAAGGGATTCACCATATCACCTAATTGATACAATCTAATCTATACCATATTTACGATAACAGTATACAACTTAATGATGGAAGATGAAAGTATAAAACATGAAGTAATGATGGAAGAATAAAGAAATACAACTTAAAACCAGAGCATCAGAAAACCCTGAAACACACTATCTTCAGCAAAGTATGAGTTGATTTATTTTTAAACACAATTCCAATGAATGTGGAGCATAGAGAATCAAGTAAAAGAATCTTACCTGCCATTGCATATTACAGTTACGAGATGGGTGACACAAGAACAGAATGTCTTCAATAGGTCATCACGCTTCTCACTTATTGCTGCAAAAGTATGGACTATATAATTGTTATCGACTTCTTTTTTAGCTAACAAAGGTGCAAAGAGGATGTCAATATCACTAATAATAATATCCATCGAGAAAAAGCAAAGCAAGAAAGAGGATATCAATATCACTACTAATAATCACCATCGAGAAGGAGCAAAAGCAAAAAATACAGTAATGCGGATGTCAACAAACTATGCCATTCAGATATATAATAAATAGTTCAGCCTGTCAATAACCTGGACAACTGAGCAAAAAAACAAATAGGAACCCAAGTAAACTAAACTTACCATTAACTGAGAAGTCAACAACATTCTCATATTCGATTAGACTACGTCCAAGAAAACACCACCCCAAAGCCACATAACGATCATCCCTTCTCGAAATAATGGCTGCCATATTTCTTGCCATGACTTGGAACAAAACCTCATCTTGATACAGCCAGTTCAGAAGTATCAGCGACTGATTCACTTTTTTCGACTCTCTCAATGACAATGCCTACCAGAAAAACCCGGTTGATCCTCATGAGTTACAATAAATCATCTCCATAATCCTCATTTTATCCACTAGGGCAGTCTAGTTTGAGTCCTAAAATTTCCTTTAGTTTGCAATTTATCAACCACAGCATCAAAATTTTCAAGCAAAACTCAAAAGCCCACGTCTTAGCAAAAGTTTCACATAAATGATCCGGTATGAATTTTGAAAGTAAAAAACAAGCAAAGCAACTTAAAAAAAAAAAAAAAGGCCTACATGTTGAAGAATGGGAACAAGAACTTGATCCAGAGCCTCGCTTCTATCCGCAGCTTCGCATACGTACTTGTGTAGAAACCACAAGGACTGTTCCAGAGAAACTTGCAAACAAAACCAAACAATAAAAAGAAAATTAAACCAAACAGAAAGACTGTTCCAGAGAAACTTACACACCACGCGGACTAATACAAAATTCATGCGTGTGCGTTTATTGTACCAGTGATGGGGCCAATTTTGGGAGGGGAATGGAGCTGCGAAATGGCTTCCTGGAGTTTCTTCGGCTTAGTGCTGAGTAGGGTGGTCATGACCCGGCCCACGGTCGCCGACATGATTGGGCCCGAGTCCGATTCCGGAGGCAGTTCGATTAGCTGCAGCTGCTCGTCTTGTTCCATTCCGGTGTGCGTGTGTGTGTCAGAGAGATAGAGAGGGGTAGTAAGAACGAGTATGATCCAGAGTACACCTCTTTATGAAACGAAGGTCGTGGAAATATTAATAGCAAAACGACGTCGTGTAAGCTTTTATTTATATTATATTGGGGATATTTTTATTTTTCTTTTATTTTGCCAAATATCAAATTTCACTACCATATTTCGGTACCAACCGGTAATCATCGGATTACACTTGATAACCTTATTAGTCTAGAGAAAACCAAACGGAGGAAAGCACGACAAGTATTCTCATACACGACCCATAACGATCCAAATGGTCAAACTCAATAAAAAAAACCCACACTTATGAACTTGCACGAGGGAGATTACCAAACTCCGTAAAGAAATACTACGAAAAACGCACTCTTAAAAGAAGAGAGAACAAACAAAACACAAAAAATAAAAAACTTAATACTTAATAACTAAACTATAGCTCTCTTCACCAACGACCAAAACTCGTCCAGAGCCCTCAAGCAAGTCAACACCCAAGATGACAACCCAATAGGGATCACATCCCGGCCCAAAACCTAGAAACTCAACAACCGACTATCGAGATTCAGACCTAAGACAAAACATTAACCAAAAGGCCAACATCGGACCAGCACCAGCGCAATTGCGCTTAAACCCTCATATTAGGTGGCGACTCCTGCATGCCACGAAATAACACCTCCGCCACCGGCAACTCCGTTGGCCTAACACCATAGCCGTGACAGGGGCGGAATCTGGTCGTCGTGGGCCACCGACAACCATCTTGATTAAGATTATCTTGTTATTCCTACAATAGTTTATTTATTGAGCGACAACTCTTACTAGGTATCGTTGGATTACTATGGTCAATCGCCATCTGTTAGATATTGTTAGAAAATGAAATTTTTTGTCTCAAAATCATACAAATTTTCATTCTTTACTGAAGGATCATTAATATCTTGAATAGGCAATCACTCATTCGTGTTCTTAAGGCCAATGCATTGTCGCGGTTGGATTTTCAAAATTGCGAAATAAGCTTCATCCAAATGTTATAAAAAATCTCATTTTTTTTTTTTTTTTAAATATGTGTATTAAAAGTAAAACTACTTTCTTACGAACTCTAATAGTTCCTCACGATCATCAGTCACATAATCCAATCACCATAAGTTTTCTAGATTTGTAGACATGTGGAAATGCGAATTTGAAACTTCAATTATTTATTCTTGCCATCTTAATTGTTCAAATTTGATTGATGATAT